ATAAGCGGACGCGAAGCTCTAACATGCGGTAAATTTTGTTATTTTTTCCGGTCAGATGTTGACTCTTGCGCTTGTACATAAGTATCTGTATACAAGAACATAGTCCATATTCAAAGATATTTTCTTTTCTAGAAAAATTGTTGCCTTTTCGTTGCTCTCTTCTTGCTGCTTGAGTGAAGTGGGCAATGAGATTTATCGGTAGGAAAGAAAACGCCATACATTTTAAATTATTTTTAATTGATCCTGTTTCTGTATATTAAAGAATAAATATTATTTTAATTTAGAAACCCGCAATTTAAATTTTGATTTTAGTGTTATTTTTTACGAAATTTCCATAAGCGGACATCTCCCATAGGGGACAAAAAGTAGGTGACCATCGGTGTCCGCTTTCACTGTATAGATATCTATAACAGAATATATAAAAATATCGATAGAAAATTCGACAAAATTATCGTTAACAAAATCCATAACAATATCGATATCAAAATCGATAAAAAAATCTATTAAAATGTTGAGATAAAAACCGACAAAAATATCGATAACGAATTCGATAAAAATATCGATAGCAATACACAACAAATTTCATAAGTACCTAGTACTCTCACCATTTTTTTTCAAATTTTTTTTTTATGAAGAAATGCATGTAGATGCTCTAGGAATATTTCTACATCAAAAAACTTTGAAAAAATGTCGCTTATGTTATTTTGGCGATTACAGCTTGATATGTATGTATGTGTAAGGCACGGTAAAGTAGGTTTGGTTAGAAATTGAACATTAATTTCATTTCATTTTACTGGCTTATAATTTATTTATTAATTTTCAATATCAATTGAAAATCCAGTAACGCCACCGAATTTTCCCTTTGGACCGGATTATAATGGAGATAACTGAACGGAGTGAACTGTCACATAATTATCTATTGCATGTTTAATAAATACAATCAATAGATCCTTACGAATTCGCCGCTATTTGTTACGATTAGGGTTGCCAGACGTACTGCTCTTGGGAGTAAACGTATTCCTTTTTATTGCAATGTACTCTCTTGTACTCCCAAATAAAAATATCTGGAAATGTACTCCTTTATTAGTTTTGTACTTCTTTTTTACTCCTTTTTCCAGCTTATTAATATTTTATCATATACAGGGTGTAAAATAATAGTTGTTGCACAGTTTTTTCTTTAATAAAAGGGACCTTTATCGATTTTGCGAGAAGTCGTTTATTGTTAATTATCCACAGGTTTTACATAAACTTTATTAACTCGTTTGTAAATTTTAACTTTTATTTGGATTTACCGGCGGTAAACACTTTGAGAGGAAAGCGCAAGTAAAACAAGTAAGAAAGTCAAAGTTCGGGCGGAGCCGAACATTAAATACCCGGCGCAAGTATTAAATATATGTTTTTCACCTTTCCGAAAGCTACCGCTACATGGTAAGCCGGGGTGTATCAATTTTGAGTAAATTAGCGTCCTTATATTTCGAAATATTAAAGTTTCAAGCATTTCTGAAATTTACCGTTATATGAAAAGCGGCCGTAATTTTAGTCCGATTTCAACAATTTTTAACGTTTTGCTTTTATGTGGCAAGCACAATAACCATACCGAGTTTGGTATAACGGTTACCGAGATACATATATGTGACCATAAGTGGGAGGTGCCACGCCCATTTTCCAAAATTTTATAATAGACGTATTTCTTGGTAAAGAATTGTTGCAAGCATCAATTTTGAATAAATTAGCTTTAATATTTACTGATTTATCGAAGATTTCGTATTTCTCTAAACTACCGTTATATGGGATGTGGGCGTGGTTATTGTCCGATTTTAAAAATGTTCAGCCATTTGGTATGCTGTACAAAAGCCAACAACTGTGATAAGTTTGGGAGAAATTGGTGCAGCGGTTACCAAGATATACACATCTAACCATAAGTGGGCGTGGCTATGCCCATTTTCCAAAAATTTATAATATTCTTATTTCTCGTCTAAAATTTATTGTAAATATCAGTTTTGAGTGAATAATATTCAGTAGTTACTTAAATATCGCAGTTTTCGTATTTCTGAAAATTACCGTTATATGGGAGGTAGGCGTGTTTATTGTCCGATTTTGCCCATTTTCAATACCATCCGTCCTACGCGCGAAAGATGTGCACTTACCAAGTTTCGTTAGATATCTCAACTTTTACTCGATTTATCGCGTGCACAGACGGACGGACGGACGGACGCACAGTCACCGCTTAATCGATTTCTCTTTTCATTTTGATCATTTATGTAGACATTTGTCTATATCTATCTCGATTCTTTTTGCCTGTTACAAACAACCGTTATGTGAACAAAGTTATAATACCCTTGTGCACAAGTGCGCTCCTGTATAAAAAGTAGTTTATTGTTAACTTTCCACAGATTTTACTTAAACTTTATGAATTAGTTTTTAAATTTTAACCTTCATTTGGGTTTACCAGCGGGTTTGGTAGAAACCTCCTCGGTTACTTTATTACATATCTTCTGTAACCATAGGGCCTAGGCATAGGCTAATGTCCCCCATCTCCAACCCCCCTTTTGGAGAGGGCGTGAATCTCCATTGACAAAAATGCAACCCCCGACCACCTAGGCGCCCTATTGGTCCCTAGGTATCCCTTAGAAAAATCGCCAAAAATTACAATTTTCACTTGCGTCCACAGTATTTTTGCGTAGAATTCCTACCAGCGTAGGCGACCTTCGGCCGCGCTTGGGGATTATAACCCTTACCACGTAGAATTCTCCTTTCTCTGTTGCCGCAGAAGAGAGGAGGAATCCCTCTTCTTTTGTCAAAAGTGTATAACATTTCTTGCAATTTTGCTTTGTGTTTAACGCAGAACTAATTTTTTCTTCATAGAATAAGATTTTAGCCGTCTTTATGGCTTTGTTGGCAGTAGTTCGAGCTGTTTTAAAACTGCTAAATGTTTCGGGAGTCCTGTACCTCTTCCACCGGGAGCGAGATAGGTTACGCATGTTGACGAGATGTTGAATGCTTG